AATCTTGTAAATGCTTCCCACGAGACTAATAGGCCTGTAGTCTCTGATACAAGATGCACCTTCTTTCTTAGGCACAATAGTAATAAAAGTAGCATTGATACTTCTCTCGAAAACACCATTCACATAGAAGTATTCAATGGTTTCCATCAACTCCCCCTTGATGGTGTCCCAACAGAGTTGGAAGAAGGCTAAGGAGAAACCATCAGGGCCGGGGGCCTTATCACCAGCACAACTCGACACAGCCTCGTGCACCTCCTCCTCCTCGAAAGCCCTTTCTAGCCACTCACTGTCTCCCTCCCCTCTATGTGGTTGAACTCTATTCCCCCCAAAGTCGACCTCCAACTAACTTCCTCTTTGTATAAGTTCTCATAAAACCCCACTATCGCCCCTTTTACCTCCTCTTCTCCCTCAATCCTCACCCTATCCACAACTAAGGACTCTATGAAGTTTCTCCTTCGACTTGCAACCGCCACTCTATGGAAAAATTTGGTATTCGAATCCCCCTCCTTTAACTATATCGTCCTCAATTTTTGCCGCCAACTAGTCTCCTGAGCTATTACTAACTCGACTATTTCCTTCTTAACCCCCCCCAATCTCTCTTTCTCAGATTCATCTAACTCCCTCGCCCCTTCCCCTCTCTCTAGTTCCCCCAATTCATGCATAAGCTCCCTCATTTTAACCTCTAACCTCCCAAAAACCTCCTTATTCCACCTAATAATATCTTCCTTGAGCAATTTAAGTTTCTGCGAAAGACGGAATGAAGGTGTCCCTGATACCCCGTAACTTGTCCACCATTCTTTCACCTTGTCACCAAATCCTGGCACCTTCAACCACATGTTCTCGAATCGGAAGGTACCACGCACCCCCCTCCCTCTGCATCCATCTAGCAAGATAGGCAAATGATCCGAAGTCAGCCTAGGTAAAGGAATCTGCAGCACATTCGGCACCGGCTCATCCCAGGAGGGCGATATCAGAAATCTATCAAGTCTAGACCTTGAGTTGGAATCCTCCGCTCTGACCCAAGTAAACCTTTCCCCTGACAGAGGAAGATCAATGAGAAAGTGATCATTGATGAAGTCAGACAAGTCCTCCATGGCCCTCGAAATCAGACTACACCCTAATTTCTCCTTCAGGAATTTAATAGTGTTAAAGTTTCCCCCTAGAACCCATGGAATGTCCCATTCCCCCATCATATTGGCCAGTTCCTCCCAGAAGAATACCTTGGACCCTTCTCCTACCGGTCCGTACACTCCCCCAAATCCCCACTCCACCCCACTAACTCTATCTTTGACAAGAGTTGCTAAAGAAAAAACTCCCTTCTTAATTTCCTTTACCTCCAAGCTTCTATCATCCCACATTAGAAGAATGCCCTCGGCACTTTCCGCTGCTGAAACCCAGTCATATTTTACCCAACTACCTCTCCAGACACTCCTCACAATCACATCCGACACAACTTCTATTTTTGTCTCCTGAAAGCAAACTAGGTTAGCACCCCACTCTCTAACTCCCACTTTGATGATGGCCCTTTTGTTTGGGTCATTCATCCCCCTCACATTCCATGAAAGAATCTTAAGTTCCA